CACTCTGGTGCGACAATATGAGTGCAGGAGCTTTAGCTTCTAACCCAGTCTATCACGCCAGAACTAAGCACATAGAACTGGACATCCACTTCATCAGAGATAAAGTACTTGAAAAGAAATTAGAAGTAAAATATGTCCCAACCTCAGATGAAATTGCAGACCTATTAACAAAGGGGCTGAACCACTCAAGATTCCTCTTCCTAAAAGATAAGCTAGGAGTCACATGCGTGCCGTCCAGCTTGAGGGAGGATGTTAAGAATTAAACACCAGATGACTCAGCTCCACTTCATCACAGTGACTCAGCTCAGCCTCCTTGCTGTCTTAACCATTTTCTTCTAGCTGGCTTCTAGGACCACTTTCTGTTGTATAATATTCCAAACATGATCCACAAAATAAGGAGCTGCCTAACAGCTTTTAACTTCTAGATTATTCCTGTGTCATTGCAATGTATTATAAATTCAATTAGCTCAATGAATATACCTACGGTTTACATTGCTATCTATTTCAAAGGCTTAGAATTTTAACTTTCCTAGATTATTAGGTCAAACGCCTGTGCTAAATCGAGTTTTATATAATCATATTTCAGTATCCATGCAAAATGCAGAGTGAATTTTGCTACGCCAATTGCTAATCCTGGAATAACATTTCGAAATTGCATTTTCTATTATGTTTATGAGCTTAGGGTCAAAGAGTTCCTTAAATTTATCGTGTCTGACTTTTAGAAATTGGTTTTTCTTGATTTCAGCCTGTCATATGTCCATAAGTTTAGTGCCGATGAGTTTCTATTGCATCCTTATTTTGACTTTTCTAAAATTTTATTTTGTTTGATTTTAGATTGTCATTAAGAAGGAATATTGCCAAGATGCCATCAATGTAGGGAATGAGAGTGACTTTCCTACTAACATTAAGGTCGAATGGTGTGTTATATCTAAATAGGCCCTTTCTTTGAGTTTCTTATATACTATTAAAACTATAGTCTTTTATGACTATAAGAGAACAAGGAGGGTGTTTAGCTGCTCAAGACAGCTATTGAGAAAGCAGGTTACAGCAGAAAAGTGAGTTCTCTTAACTTTCATAACTTCATTAACCATCTAGAGAATAGGATATTAAAGCTTAAAATATCTAGAGTACCTCTTGGCTCCACCTGAGGTTTGTACACCCTTGCTTGTTGAACTTCATTTGCGTCCCTCACGTTTACCATTGTCCCACTTCACTCTTTCAACACTTTCATAATTCACTTTCTAGTTATTGTCCCATTCAGCCTCAAATTCTACAAGTATCCCTTGATAATAATAATCTTATCCCATATGGATGTATCTCTTCATCTTCATCTTGATCTTTTCTTGTTTAACATCGAGTAGTTTGTTCACTAATAAATTGCTTCACGAACTTGAATTATATATTCTTTTTTCTACATAAATTGATGTGAAAGCTCAATTTTTTCAACTAATCGGTTGGTGTCCTTTGCCTATCTACATCTTGCAAATCTATGAAGCATGTTTTCTTTGTAATCTCTATTTCCCTATAATTTTTGTGTTCTTGCACTTCTACAAACTATCTCATTTTCCGTTGTAGATTATATTAATTCGACTCAATAATGTTTAATGTAGCTCATGGTCGCCTTGCAATAAATTTTGAGCATATAATAATAATAATAATAATAATAATAATAATAATAATAATAATAATAATTTTAAACAATTTAAGATATTGCTTAATACTTAATACACCCTCAGAATAAGTTTTTTACACTAGTGTTTCATCTATAATAGCAACATTTTTCTTATACATAGAAAAAATGTTTCCCACAAACAATATATACACGTTAGAACATAACATCAAGGTTACGACAATTGAAGTTTTCTGGATATGATTTTCGCAAACAAAGATAATTTACGGTTTTTTGATTGAATCAAACTATAACATAGGGTTGTAATGAAATAATATACAATTCACAATAAATGAACAACGCAAAGGCGAACAAATAACAAATTAAAAAAAAAGGGGCATTTGCAATTGCACCTTCAGGCAAGTTCCGCTTTTCTTTGCGACTTCTGCTTCAAAACTATTCCTTTTTCCCTTTTGCAGTAAACTAAGCTAGTGTTTGGCCCCCATTATTTTTTTTTCAAACTTTTTTCTTTCTTAATTTTAACCACACATTCTCCAAATAAAATAACACTACATACAAATCTAAAAGTCGCCATCATTTTTCAATTACACATTCTCCTATCAATCACTATTCCAAAATTTATAATTTCTACAAAATGGGGGCCAAACACTAGCTAAGGCTATGTTTGAGCACATTTTTTTATTTTTTATTTTTTAATGAAAATGAGTGTTGTAATAATATTTTTTTGAAGAACGTGTTGTTAAAAAATGAGAAAAAAATTTGATTTTACGTTGCGAAATTATTTTAATGAGGGAAAAATGAAAATGAATTTGTGGAAAAGTGAATTTTTAGTAAATGAGGCTAAATATATTGCACTGTCGGATTGATGGTTAACCGTGGGATCATAAATTTCCAACCCCTTGTCATCCTATAACACAATAACTATGCATTATTACGATGGTTATTTTTCTAAAACTAACAAATAGAAAAGAATTTTGCAAACTAACAAATTATACCTCGAATTTTTGCAACCAAAATATCTTTAACCCGGAATATTTTATGTCCATGATGTTTTTAGTAGGGGTGGGCATGGGTTGGGTCGGGTCGGTTTTTGCCTCAACCTAAACTCAAACCAACATGATCGGTTTGATCAAAATTTAACTCAATACAACCGTGTAAAGGTTGAAATCCAACCCAACCCAACCCAACCCAACCCAATCAAGTATCGGTAGGGTTGGGTTGGGTTGGTCGATTTGTGACAACTTGTCAACAGAAATTAAAATAATTCAATTGTCTATTATACTAAATTCGAATAGACACCCATAACTCGACCCGCGCACACAACTAACCCACCAAATCCATGTAAAAACAACAAATAAACCAATCCAAACCGATTAGGTTGGTTTGGGTTGGGCGATTTTGGTGAGTTCGGTTGGATTTTGCCCACCCCTAGTTCTTAGAATCCATCTTCCTCCGCCAAATGGCACAATAGCGTTACAAATTGACTTATAATCCATTCTTGATTGAGTGGATTTCAAGAATATAACGAATCCTCTAAACGTTCGACTTGAATTTTGAGATGAATTTTTGGTTTTATAAAGTTTAGGATGTGGTACACGTGGTCTGTTCATTACTTTTGACGATCACATCACCAAGTCTTTAAGTAAATGAACAAAAGGTTGACGAAGTGGCTTTATTGCTCGCGAATTGAAGTAAAGTGACATGATTGTTCTAAATTAAAGTTTAGTGACCTAATTGCAAGTAAGACAAAAGTTCAATGACAGCTGGTGAAATTTACTTCTTTGAAACTACAATTTCAACCAAATCCTTTGAGTTTATCAATTTCATTTTTTCTTGATTTCGGGTCAGGTCCCATCGTTTTTCTGCACAAGACTGTCTCAATCCCACAAAAAAAATAGAATCAATGTTTGTTGGGGATTGAAATAAGTTTTTCAATAAACTTTAATGAAAGTTGATAAAATATGAGTAGAAAATTATGAATTCCATAAAATATATAATTAAAATGAATTATTTACTTTACTTATAGGCTAGTTCTATTACCACAAATTTTATTTCATACAGTACATTTTAATTACTGCAAAAAATCTCAATTTTTGCTCATTATAGCTATTATTTCCTTAACTTCTTTTTCAATCGAATTCTTATCTTCAACGTTTCTCTCGTCCTTGATAATGATTTATATCAATATATTTTGTTTTTGGACATAAAGCTGTTATAAATACAAAATGTATTAATTAATGAAAAGTTCGAAGATAAAAAAAATATGAAATGACGTTAGGAATATACGTATTGCAATCGATGTTCTAAATGTATAAAGCGTAGTTAGGCATGGAGATGAAGTTTTAAGTTTTACGAGCTTAAGTAGCATCGCCTATGCGTAAAAAAAAATGTTTTCTTATTTGTAATATTATTTTAAATTTTTAGTCATTTTAAAAATCATTTAATAATTAAAATTATACATATCAAATATCTAAAATTATAAAATACTACATTTAGTTAATAGTTCCTATAATTATTCAATTATACAATTTTCGAGTTTTTGAAATGTAAAAACTCAAACTATTTTCATAGTTTCAATTTTCAGCTAGATAAATTCTACTTAATAGATATATAAAAACCTCATACGTGCTTTTGAAGTTTTCAACAAAATAATGAGTCTTAAGATCATAATTGCATATGTAGATAGCGCAGTAACTTAATCTTATTTAACTCTTTATCGAATAAAATCATTTTTAACTTTTGTAGAGATAAAACCTTTTAAAAACTTGAAATTAAAATCAAATAAAAGTTTTTTAAAAAAAAATACAAAATTAATAAACAAAAGTCAAATAAAAGGCTTTTGAAAAAAATAATTAAAAAAAATTGATAAAGCGCCCATAAAGAAGACGAAAGAGATGAGAAAAAAATTCCTATATTTATGAATTGTAAAAAAAATAGTATCTATGCACAAAGTGAGGCATTTTATCCAATATTCGAGTTTAGATCTATACGAACTCTCTAGAACACTACGGACTATAAGGAGCCAAGATTAAAAATATTAAGGGTGCGTTTGATGGATATTATTAAGAAATAAATGTATTTTAAATAGTGATATGATGAGAAATATGTGCTTAAAAAATAAGCAAAAGTTACTGATTTACTAATGTGATAGAAATTATTATTTTATTGAATAACGTGTTCTTGAAAATAAGTTTTGAAACAACCTGACCAAGTACAATTATAACACCGTGAAAGAAGTCATAATTTTCGTTACTAATATGGGGGCAAAACAAAATTTCTCAAATCCGTTAGACAGCCTCTCTCATTTCGTAACGCACTTCAATCCCTAAATATAGCCGAAGCAAATTCTCCCAAGTGTAAACAGAAATCAATGGCGTCATCTGAAAATTCAGCGGTGGCAAATCCGTCGTGGCTGGAATTGCCGCGTGAGATCACGGCATTGATTTTGCACAAATTGGGAACAATAGAGATACTAACGAGCGCCCAGAAAGTGTGTACTACCTGGCGGAGAGTGTGCCAAGACGTGACCATGTGGCGGATAATCGACATGCGCAATTTAGGCGACCTCTGGGCAACGCCTTACGACCTCGTAAAGATGTGTCGCCACGCAGTGGATGTTAGCAAAGGCCAATTGGAAGATATCAATATTGAGTATTTTGGTACCGATGATCTGCTTACCTACATTTCTCAGAGGTAAAATCCTTTTTGGTTTTTCCTCTTTTTCCTTGCTAGTTAAATTTGGAATTCATTTTATTAGGTTTAATTTTTTCTGGTTCATAAAAATTGATTAAATTTGATGACACGTATGCTTGACTCTTTGCTATGTTTAATATTGTTTGGTGCATACAGGTGGGTTAATTTAGGTTTTCTTGTGTGCATGCTAAAAGTTGTTTGCGCCAATGTTATCTTCTCTGACTTCTTAACAAGCGCAACAATCACATTATTTCAAGCAAATGGTTGAATTAACTTAATTGCTTTTTTAACATTTGGTAAAGTCTTGTCCGAAATGTTTTTACCTTTGTTTCTTATAACATGCAGTTTTCCCACTTCCCCCCTTTTCTAAGCAGTAAGGCTTAACTCAGATTAATTGTGTAACTGAACTCATTCCTAATTTTTAACCTTCTTTAGAATATTAGTTGTGCAATTGAACTAATTCCTGCATACATTTTGAGATCAACAAAAGCATCTTGTTGCTTTACTAGTGAATGTCCGTGCATAACTTGCTATGTTATTTACTGGAATAGTCACACCACTGTACCTCTGCAGGTGGTCTGGATTTTAATGGGTGAACATAACAATTTTTAAGTTCACATTGTCCATGATGTGATAATGATCTTTACAGGAAAAATAAAAACAAAAATTATTTGAAAGTAAAGTTTATGGGAAGATAAGCTCCACCCCTGTTCCTCCTGATGAATAAGAGTGATTGGAAAAGAATCAATTGCAGTTACAGCTTTACAAAGATCACTGTCTCTATATTCAGTGTATGTTAATTCATTGAAATATATCATCTTCTGCTTTATTTGCAAATTCCTTGATTTTTATTTGCTGAAATTTTGTATCGTGTAAATGTTTTGCTGATGCAAGATTTTTTTCACCTTTCTGGTATGTATATTAAGCCCATATCGCCTTGAAATTATGTTGTCATCCCTACACATTTGTTGTGTCTGTCTAAGTGCATTAATCTCTCTGTGTCGGTGGGCAAGGTTAACTTTTTACATTATTTTGAGACCACACATTCTTCATTTATACAATTGTGCAACATCTACATTATGTGTAGGTACTCATTTCATGTTTTTGCTGATTGCTGATGTATCCTTATTTCCTTCATTTTAACTTTTTTCAACAGCTCCAACCAGCTCAGACGGCTTCGAATTGTATTTTGCTATAATATAACATGTGAAGGTCTGGTTGAAGCAATTAAAAGTTTCCCATTATTGGAGGAGTTGCATTTATATTACATTTATATTGACAAAGAAGCTATTGAAGTTATTGGACGTTCTTGCCCGCTGTTAAAGTCTTTTAAACTGAACAACCAAGGATCTTTACTCCCGGATGTTGAGTGTGATTTGGAAGCCCTAGCAGTAGCGAAGAACATGCCCAACTTGCACCACCTTCAACTTTTTGGAAATAAGATGACAAATGAAGGCCTGCAGGCCATTCTGGATGGCTGTCCTCGATTGGAATCACTTGATCTACGCCAATGTTTTAATGTTTCCCTTGGAGGAAATTTAGGAAGATTATGTTCTCAACGGATTAAAGATTTAAGGCGCCCCCTTGACTCAACTGACGATTATGGATTTGATGCTGAAATTGACGATAGGGAGTCTTTTGATGAGGATAACCTATCTGGAATTTCTGACATTGACATGGTGTCAGATTATGATAATTATCTTGAGTTCTCTGATGGCAGTGGTGCTTCGTATCATGAAGACGAAGAAGAGTTGTTCATTGGCTGAGGGTATATAAAACATGATACCTGATCACTTCTACCGCAGAAGATCTTTATTGGTAATATCTAAGTTATAGCAGCTTTGAGTAACGGGGCTTTCTCTTTTTATTAGACTACTGAGGTGGTCTTGTTCCTGTTGTAGTTGCTAGTCATCAGAGTGGTTTGCTGCCTTTCCCTTCATGGGCATGTTTGGTACAAGGTGTTGTATGGGTCTCGAAATTATAAGTAGTTGAGATTTTGAGTTTCTATTTCTTATTTAATGTGGTCCATTATCGTATTCACTATTCAGTGTTCACCTTATTAAATATGTCATTTCTTGAGTTTATTTTCTATATGCACACACTCTTCTATGCTTTTAACGGACTTTCGCACGTAGATAGGTTAATTTTGTTGCTTTCGGGTAATTGGTTCATGTACTTCAAGAAAACTAGGCTGGAGGTTCAAGATGCCATCTGACTTAAAACAATGGCTTGTATTATATAAACTGATGATGCCAAATATAAAAGTCGATTTTTCTAATTTTTGCACCATTTTATGGCAATTTTGCTAGCATTTTTGGGTCTATTCTCTTTACTATTTTCAAATCATTTTTAATTTTCAATTTTCTAAAACATTGAAAACATATTCTTTTTCCTATTTTCGAAAACACGATTTTGAAAACAAGTTAACAATTTACAAAGAAAACTCAAAACGACAAATTTGTCGTTTTGGATGTTTTCAAAGAAATTTTTTAAATTGCTAAAAAAACAAATTTTCAATAATTTCGAAATGGACACTCAAAATACAAAACTTAAAATGAATTCAAAATTCAAAATACGAAATTGAAATACAAAGAGAACAATCCCTTAGTCTCTTGAAATAATATACATTTACAAACTCGCTAGGGTCAATATTTTATACCCTTCTAATATGAATAAAGTCAGTTCTCTGAAGAGTCACGTTCTAAGAAGTAAAGGCAAGGTGATTTACTTGATAGATATTTATGCTTGTTCTAATATATTATTTAGTGCGTAATTAATAAATTTAACAGTATTGTGATATATTGTTTCTTGAAATGGAATGTACCTTGTAGGTCCTAAAAGATTCACATGCCTATTAAATTTAATTATAATATTATATAATTTAACGAAATTAAGAGTTTAATTTATTATATGTCTATGGTTTATAACTTGCATTGTTATGAATATTGAATCTACATACAAGCAAATCTTTTTGTTCAGGCATTATTTCATAGTTTATCACTAAAGGAGTTTTATTGTGCCTATCTATTTCTATTATGACCAGCTATTAAAATTAGGTCAACTTGTCTACAAGTAGAGGTTTAATTACTCCAATAGTCACCGAACTTTATCAAAAGTTTCCATCAGGTCACTGAACTTTAAAAACTACATGATTAGTCACTGAACTTTCGAAACTGTAACTCCATTTATCACTGAATTTTAAAAATCACCACATTGGTCACTGAACTTTGCAAAAGATTTCTATGGAGTCACTAAACTTTACAAAAAAGTTTTCCAGATGATCACTGATTCAATGACCATCTGTGAAACTTTTTGCAAAGTTCAGTGACTATTTGAGAAACTTTTTGTAAAGTTCAGTGATGAATGATGTGATTTTTAAAGTTCAGTTATAGATGAGGTTGCAATTTCGAAAGTTTAGTGATTAACCACATAGTTTTTAAAGTTCAGTGACCTGACAAAAAATTTCAATAAAGTTCAGTGACTATTGGGGTAACTAACCCACAAGTCGATCTTGGTATGAATTCATAACGAATATTAATTAATGATTAATGAAGCAAATTAAATGAAGTAAAAAATGTTCATTATGATAAGTAAATTTAACCCTCATCTGATAAGACGTAACATGTAGATTTTAATTTAAGTGAAAGTTAAAAAATAATTTGAACCATATATTTCATTATTCCCATAACCTTTTAATAAGATATTTTATTATTTTTTATCAAAAATTACTAAAAATCTTATTTTAATTCCCTTCAAATAAAAATTTAATATTATTTTATTTAATTAAGGGCATTATCTATAGGGAGGAGAAACTTTTGATTACCAATTTTATTCTTATCTATTTAACTATAGGTCCAATATACCCTCATTTATCCTCATATTTTCAATTTTCCACATTACCCCTACATTTTTATGTTTATGGTCAATAATGCCCTTAAAATTAATTTTATTTCAACTAAATACAATTATTATTAAAATTAAAATTATTTATTTTTTAAAACTTAAGTCAATTAATTTCCACAAAACACTAGTATTACTAACTATCAGAATATAATTAATAAAAATATATATAAAAATAAAATAAAAATTATATATATGTGCCTAATATTACATATTAAAAGAAATTGCAATCCTAAAAGATCCTACTGAAAAAAAAACATAACAGTTAAAACAATCCAATTAACTAATATTCACTTGATAAGTATTAGATGAAAAGTCATTTTCTAATGACCCATTTAGGGGTGTTAGCGGTCTGATTTTATCGATTTTTGACATATTTTCAAATCAAACCGTTTAAACCGGTTGGAGAAAAATACAAATCTAAACCAAACCATTTTGAACGATTTGAAAAAAAAACTCAAACTCAAACCTAACAGTTTGATCCGCTTTTAAACCGTCGATTTCGTCGTATATTTTTTTGACATTCTACTTTTATGTATGTTAACACACTAAAAGTGCAGCCCAAATTAAATGGCCCAAAAAGCGAAGCCTGGTTGGGAGTCCAAGACGAAAGCCCAAGCAAAGGGTATTACTGAAAAATGTAAAAGCCCACAAACAAGGGAATGTCATCGCCCAA